TATTCCATAATTTTGTAAAATGTTACACGAGGAGGTTTCTCGCAAAACCTTTGGCTCCAATCACAAAATAATTGCCACTGTCTGAAATTATTAGAACTTCAAAACAGCTTTCAAGAAGTGTATCATATTTTATTTTCATTGCACTGATATCACGTCTAGTGGCTTTAATAGACACCTCTCCGTCGTGGGTATGACGATAAACTACACCCAAAAGCAAGGCCTCTGATCAGGAGGTTTTGATGAGTGTGGAACCACATCTTAATTGCTGGTGTTCCCAGATCCACCCTGACCCGGGGTGGTAGCACCTGTTAGGGGTCCCAAATATGGTCAAATAGTTAACCCCCTAAACTCGGGTCAAAACACTATTAAAGTGTAAAAATAGGTTTTAACACCATCAATACATTTATGTAAAATGTTATTACCAGCAATGAATCTTTGAAGAAAAAAATATTACCAGCAATAAAAATCTTGTCGACATTAAATAACTCATTTAGGTTGACATGCCATAAAACAAACCAAATCAAATCAAACACCTCCCTTCACTTAAATGTAACCAAATGAATGGATTTAATCTTCTTTTGGCTTTTGTGATTGCATAACTTATGCCTTCCGAAGGAGAGATTTAAAGTTATTCGTCCTCTCAAACTCGAACTTTTTTTTATGTGTGAATCACTGGATACATCTTAATGATATTTCACTGTTTTAGTTTAAAGATATAAAATTAAAACCCTAATGTCCAGTCAGAGTATTCTAAGATAGCCCTCATTTCGTCATGTTGTATCCTGCAGTATAAGAAATTGCTTATTCTCCTTGTTTTATTCCACTTCTTTTTGTCACTTCTTTTCAGCAGACAGACAATGAAATTTCTATATTTGCAGTACTGTATTTGAGTTAGTGGTTTTCGTTTTTATGAGAGAACTGATGAGAACAGATTATTTCCCCGAACATCTTCGGTTATCCAGTGAAGACGAAAATTAAGCCTCTCATTCTGTGACCTTATTAAACGTTTGTGGTTTTTCTGAATCAATTTCTAAGAGAGTCTTGGTGCTGTATACACCTGAAGATGCGAAAAAGATACATATGAACCGAAGCCTTATATGAAAAACGTGTAATATGACTTCGTTCACGTGGTCAATTTTCTTATTGGAAACTACTTTGAACTCTTTCAGTGACTACACGGACACTTAAATCATTGCATGAAATGCTAATATACACAGACTCTCTCTCTCTCTCTCTCTCTCTCTCTCTCACACACACACACACATATATATATATATATATATATATATATATATATATATATATATATATATATAGTGATTTTCAAACGTAGCTTAGATGTGGCACAAGGCCGAAAGTATGGGGATCGAATTCAGTGAGGATCAAACTCACTATTCAATCCTAAACATTACACCCCGCCGAGGTGACCAACACACACAAACACACACACACACACACACACACACATAGTAGCCCCAGAAAAACGCGATAACAGTTCAACTGGTCAATGATATACAATTTGCGTATGACACGACTCTAGTTGTTCTGTAATATGTAACGTCTTGATTTGCAGTACGCTTTGGTTTGAGGTGCCCAACACACACACACACGCGCGCACACACATACATACATGTAATGGTTAGCAAACGTGTCTCGCTAGAACAATTACGACTGAGTAGTGAGCTCGATCCTCACTGGGTGCCCCTACTTCCGGCCTTGTGCCACTTCTTCTAAGCTACGCTTGGAAAATTACTATACACATATATATATATATATATATATATATATATATATATATATATATATATATATATATATATAGTTTCGCCTATTCTTCTGGCATTGCGGGTATTTTATACTTTAAATCCCGGTATCCGACACCACATTAAATGCCGAGATTTATCATATATATATATATATATATATATATATATATATATATATATATATATATATATATATATGAACTTTTATCTCATTCTCTAAAAGAAAGGCATATATATATGCATTTAAATATTTAAGAATAAGGCATAAGATTTTTCAAAAGCAAAGTCTAGCAACTGGAAAATAAACCGTTTTCATGGCACTGTCACTTCTCATTTCTAACTCATCACTTTACTTCCGAAAGTTAGGTTGCCTCGAAACTCTTCTATAATCATCTGTGTTCCACAGGCAATAGTCGATTCTACAAAAGACGAGGAGTTTCTTTAAAGAGATCTGGCGTCACGTTCTTTAAAGAAGGATGGACTGCACGATCATTTTGTAGAAATATTTTCCTTTTTATTTTCGTCTTTAGGATGTTTTTTTGCTCTTAGCTACTCTCTTGTCTACCTCTTTGAGTAAATTTTTATCAGTTAATATGACCCAGCCTAACATATGAAATCCAGAAATATTTCCATCTAAATCGGACTAGAAGAGACAGTGGACCTGTGACACTGTCGTTGAGATGAATTGCATTGTCAAAAATAGTTTATATTCACAATGATTTTCAAACCAAAACGTACTGCAAACTAGAGTCACGTCTTAAGCAAATTGTATCTCATTGACCAGTTGAACTGTTGTCGTGTTTTTCTGGGGCCACTTTAGATTGAATACATATGCAGTCCAAGATTTTCCAGTGCCTGCTTCTAGTGTTGTACGACTTTGTCATGTCAACAAAGGCAACATTTTGTTCTCGTCACTTATTCTTAGACAATCAGTTGTGATCCGATTAGCTCTACGGCCAGAGCAGCTCATAAATATATATATATATATATATATATATATATATATATATATATATATATATATATATATATATATAACGATGTATTATGATTACTTGCATTATTTACATTATTCGGGATGTTATCCTCATTTTCATTGTCATATTCACAACTTTTCGGCCATTGTACGCTCCAGCCTTCTTCAGGTGATTCGTTTTAGTTTTTATCCAAATTGTCTTATCATCAGAATTATTTTGAGAAATTTAACAATATGTCGACATGGAAATCTAAAACAAATTCTTAGTAAAAAAAAAAGGTACCAACATCCAGAAGGAGGCTTACATAAGAGCGTTCCCTTTATATTTTGAATTGAATGTAACTAAAAACATTTCGCTTTTAAACTTGCCTTGATAAAGTCGGATTGACGAGATGAAACGCGTCGGCAATGACCAAGAAATATATTTCCCAACTGTCTTCTTTTTATCTAAAATGCATATGTATTCATGTGTGTTTGTGTGATTTTCGCATAACATACAGAGGTTGATAGGGTGCTGAACATTAATATAAAAAATGCTTAGTTTCTTGTCTTGTTTCATCCTCTCGTCAAATCTTCTCTCGTTTGATCTTTTTTTCTTTTAATTTCTAATATTTTTCATTCTTTTCTTCTTTTGAAAAAATATAACGACAAACAAAATGTTATTTTACCGATTTGAAAGACTTTGCATGCCAGTGCATACATTCATCAACGACAAAGTCACAGTTTCTATGCCAAGTTTCTATGCAAGGTTTTTGACAGAACTGTTTTAGAAGATAATTTTAGCACCAGCAAAAGTTTTCATGGTTATCTTTAGTGATAAAAGACACTTTCCAAAGTAAATGTCGATATGCACATTCTATGCATTCTGTGTCTACTAGTCTCCCTTGGTTACCAAAATTCAGATAATATATTTAATTTTTCTGTTCCAAAATTATATAGTCACTATATTCTTTTGTTTTAATAATTACCAGCCGAAAGTTAAACACATTTATAATAAAAAGTAAACATCAACAAATCTTCTGTAATTGTACGAGAATGAGAATTGAAAATTAAGTTTCACTGCTTAGAACTCATTAAACTTATTTTTCAGGATATTTTCAACATTTCGAAAGAGTCATTTGTATAGAACCACTAACATTTATTCTTTCTTACGAAAGTGTTTAGTTGACAATCAAATAAAAAGCAAAGATTCTTTTATCCAAATACGAAATATCTTGTGTGAATTCTCTTCCTCCCAACTTAATATATTCCGTTGATTCTCTGCAAGAAGCATAAAAGGGAAATAAATCTTTTGCAGCATTTATCTTCGATTACAGCTGATATTGGAGTTGATGTGATTTCAGGTCTCACTGGGTGACTCACAACATTAGCCTCGTGAACGACTAAACTAAGTTCAGTATATTCAACAGCCTATTCAACAGTTGGGATTCCATTCATACTGTTCGAAAGATGATTGTTTTTTAAACTGTGATAATCTTCAGTCTATTCGCTCGAAATATTTCTGGTTTTCACAGTATAGTTTATTTTGCTTCAAACATATATAAAAACAATTACAAAATTTTCTTTTTATATCTTTTGTGCAGTAACTTTTTAAATGACCCTCATACATATGAAACAGCAACAGAACTAGTAATACAACCACTGCAACCAATTGTTTCCTATCATTCCAAGATTTCATCGTTTGTGATTCAGAAGTTTTTTGTTTGTTTTTTTTTTTTGTTTTTTTGTTTTGTTTTTTGGCGGGGGAGGGCTACGAATTTTTTTAAAAGTCATGCTGGATAATCAAGGACAACCATACGCTCGGAGAAGACAAAATTATCCGCGATACTATGAAAACAAGGACGAAGATACTAGTTTGAATAAGTCATCGTATAATTCTTCAGAAGATTCACAAATTATCCATCGCCAAAGTATAATAACCATTTTATGAAACTGATTTCCTTAGAAACAGTATCTTGTGCTGCTGTGATGCACAACATCGATCGTAAGAAACATCATCTTAACTGGTTTCAGTTCAGGCTTTTCTTTTCTTTGAAACTGAGAAATTGTTCAAATGCAATGCAAAAAATAAACATAGAAAGAACAACGAAGTAAATATATCAGATACTGTCATTAGAAATCTTGAAGTAAAAAAGAACATGATCCAAAAGCACTGAGTGGAATTCTAGAATTTCGTCATTAATTAAAAGAACAAATGAAAAGTATGAATTTAATTAATTTTATGGCATTAAAACACACTCAATATAGTGATTCATAAATCATTTTTGATCTGATAGATAGATAGATAGATAGATAGATAGATAGATATGAATGAATAGATAGATAGAAAATGAACAGACCTGGCTAGATAGATAGATAGATGAACAGACAGATAGATAGATAGATAGATAGATAGATAGATAGATAGAAAATGAACAGACCTGGGAATAGATAGATAGATAGATAGATAGATAGATAGATAGATGAATAGATAGATAGATAGATAGATGAAAATGAACAGACCTGGCTAGATAGATAGATAGATAGATAGATAGATAGATAGATAGATAGATAGATAGATAGATAGATAGATCTCATATGAAACAACTTTTTCATTTTCTCTTTCTGTCTCTTTTATTCTCGTATTTTCTCTTCTATATGCATTCTTTCATTTAATTTCGCCCTTACAAAAGTTAGGCCTACTCTCTTTCACTTCAACCATAAACCTTCTGGCTGTCCGAATCTATCATAGTTGCAAAACTTTCATCTCGATACTTGCCACAAAGATTTACGATTTCTTGTCAAATCTGTCTAGGACCTTAAGCTTGTTAAAATGTATTCAAGTTTCAAAGTCAAACTTGCAGAATTTAGAAACGTATCCCGTAAAGTTGTTTGGCTTGACTGACTCACTGAGCAATTCGCATCAATTTTATTATTTGTCAATATAAGTGAATACCTTTCAGCAATAAAGAACTTCCTTGGTATATCATTCCCATAACACATACGTAATACATCCTTATTGTTGTTATTATTATAGATATTTATTAAGTTTGCATTATTACCTTATTCTAGCACAAGACTAAAATGAGAGAAAATATATATTTTTTGCGCAATTTTTCCAAGTGGAGATGATCTATACCTACCTGTCTTGACTATCAGTTTTCTACATCCTACTTTTGCTGAGGTTTGAACATTTATATCGAGTTCAGTGGAAAATCTGCAACTTTCACAAAAACACTAAACACATCCTGTTATCATTTGCTTGTTTTTCTGCTCTAATTCGTTGCATATATGCTTTATATTTTACTGTCTGAATTGCAGAAAAGGTCAAAGATATTTGACCACGAATCATTCTGTTGTCTTCGGCTTAAACTTATAAACAAGAAAAATAGTCTGTTTTTTTTTTCAAGATTATCTTATTAGTAAAAAAATCAATTCAAATAAATCTTATTCAACTCTTAGTATTATACATTTCTCTCTGTTTAATACACAATATTGTTTTATTTCATTGCTATGCAAGTTTTAAGGTTGACAATTAACTTGATCACGTGGTCATAGCACACAAATCTCCACTGAAAATATATCATGTCCTGTATAGACCCATGGATTAAATACAAAAATAAATGCATCGGAACAAAACAGTCGTAGAAGTCAAGAACGTTATTGAATAGGTACGCTGTAAACAGAACAGAATCTGCGATACAACTACATCTGGAAAGCGAAGGTAACGTTGTAAAACCTCATCTAGGCCACTGCGTTAGTTATTCGATTCCATAGAAGAGCCATAAAACTGATCAAAGCCGTTTATTTGCACAATGACACGAGGTTTTTATATTTCTTTCGTGCAACAGCGTACAAATCGGATCCTTCAGTATCTGTCTATATTTTTGAGATGAGGTATTATGTACACTATTTACATTATTCGGACTATTGTCCTCATCTTTGTCGCCATATTTATTAAAACGTTTCGGCCTTTCAGTATCTGTCTACATTTCTGAGTTGAGGTATTATGTACACTATTTACATTATTTGGACTATTGTCCCCATCTTTGTCGCCATATTTATTACAACGTTTCGGCCGTTGTACGCTCCGGCCTTCTTCAGGTGGTTGGAATGTTGAACTGAAACCTTTATTTTGCTCAATGGGGTAGACTGTTTTAGCTCCACGTGCCATGTTTAGTGGATGTCATTTGTCAGTTATCTCCTAATAATTCCCCTCTCCAAGTTCTCCACTGCCATAACCGGGTATTGAACTCACACTCTTTGGGTCCTGTCACTGGATCGAACCAACGCATTTATCCTGCCGAAATTAAGGATCAGTAATGAATCTTTTCTGTAATCGTTTCCCCATCCAAAGCAAAGTAATTGATTTACTAATTTTTACGCGAATAAAAAAAAACTTAGAAATCACAAGTTTCTTTTTTTCCCTGAATAGGAATAATATAAATGGGGCTTTGATTCAGAATTGCTATATTCCAGTAAATTACTTTATATACCAGATTTAATGATAATGGTTTAACAAACTTCTCAAATTAGCACCTTCAATTGTTGCTGAATTTACCACCATATTTCAGCCATGTTTTTTTTTTGTTTTGTTTTTTTGACTTTTTCCTATTGGCCTAAATATTAAGGCAAACACAGGATAAGGATATTAGTTCAAATAACCACGGAATATAAACTCTGATTTGTATTAGAACTACAGACATTATCTAGGTTTTGCGTTGATCCTTATGCATTTCAGGTTTTCTTAATGTTCTCTCTAAAACTCCTATGGTTAAATAAAAAAAATATGTAGTTCATAATTATGGAAGTAATATATTTGGAATCAATTACATCCAATTAAATGGAGTTTTGATGTGAGTGTATTATGTATGTGTACGTCTGTGTGTGTATCTGTGTGTGTGAATTGGTTGCTGCCCTTTGCCAACACGATAAGCAGGATCCAAAAGATAACACGCTATAAATGCAATGTTGTCAACAACAAAGAATTAGAAAAATATATCTTGAAATATACTTAACACCCGAAGTACTGTGCCACAACATTCAACTAAATCTTGCTTCTTGTTCTTTACCTCACAGTGTTTCAACAAGAGAAAGTGGTCTTTTAAATTATTTGAAGTTTTGAAAGAAAAAATGCTGTTTCGTGATCATTCTTCTTTATCATATCCGACCCAAGTTAAATGACAATATATAATGTCGTGACTTGACAAGTAAGAATCAGTCGGTCAATTAGAGAAGTATGTCTGACGATTACGCCTGATCGTGAAGAATTTTTTTTTTTTTTTTTGCATTTCTTGAACTTTTTCGCGCGAAGGATATCTTTGAAGAAAAAGACCTTTCTTTAAACAACAACAACAACAAAGAAAGAAATGAGATTTTGATTCATGTAAGCAACATGGAAGAATCTGAAAAGAAGTGTTGATTTGAATAGGAAACATAGGAAGAAACATGCTGACTTCATGGCGTGCTTTGCTGGGAGCATCAGGAACGAATTTAACTTTTCTGACTATGAGTCGGGATCAAATCTGAATAAAGGCAATATTTCAAATGTCAACGTTTCTAAAATGAATGAGGGACTATGAGAAGAAATTATGTTTATCGATTTTTGTATAAAATATCGTAAAAAAGGTTCAATAGGTTTGGAAAAGATTATCTCAATTTGTGATTTGAATTTCTCAGCTGATGAAATGATATAATTCTTTATTATTTTGCATTAATTCTAAACAAAGCAGTTCCATCGTTTATTTATTTCGATGGAGGCAATCTTCACTCTTTCCCGATGGTATGGCCTTATCTTTTGGCTTTTAAAATATTTTGCAATTCCAGATCTTGAAAAAACACACAAACATACGCATTTGTGTTTGTTTGTTTACTGCATTTGTTCCTTATCTCCTCTCTTAGCTCTTGTCGACCATAACAAATCTGTCCTCTTGGCAATTCGGTTCACCTATAGTATCTGTTGATATTTCCTTTGAGTCGTCTATTAGAAAGGAACCTCATATTCACAAGATTTAATTTTATTACCTGCGTACTGATCGGGATTCATTTTACAGCTTTCTTTGAGAGGCTCCTTGCTATTGAGAATTGTGCCACAGAGGTTTCCTTTTGAGTGAAAGCCGATATCGAAGTTTTTGTACCTTCTCGAAAATACCAAGTGACACCACAATCATTCATTGGTTCATACCGGCCAGTTCAGCCGCTATAGGCCTCAGGAATCCCTTAGTCCATGTGTGTACCAGTATGATAATTCCGATCGCAACAGACGCCTCTTTGCGTCTTCTCGTAATAATTTTCAAACTGTCCCCAAAGAGGACAAGTCCTTGTTTTCTGATAGAATGAGGCACCACACAACCTCTAACAAGTTTGGTTCTCGTGACTACTAGCATCTCCGTAATAGCGTGCTAAACAAGAGTTTTCTATCCCTTCTTTCTTCATTCAATTTGAGTTGTTAACATCTGATTATAAAAACGGAATGTGGTGCACGCAAATTATCTTCAAATTTTACTCTTGACTCATATGGATTATCTGAGTGCTATTGAGGGATATGCATATAACACCGTCCATGATTTCTACTGTCATCATTAAACTGGATCCTAAAAATCAGGTGGACTTGATGGTATCCCTACAATATTCCTTAAGAATGTGCTCCTGGATTGGCTCATGGTCCCTCTAAATTCTGCAATAAATTCATTATGGTTTCTTGCTTTCCTGCTTGATAGTAATCTTCTTCTGCAGTTCCAGTCTTTAAGAACTCAGGTGGACCGTCTGATCATTCTATCATTTTATTAGATGCCCTAAACTTCTGAACTTTCTGAAACGAAGAGTTTCCTTTCAGATAAGCAATATGGCTTTTGCTTCTCTACATCAACATCTGATGTATTAATGTTTTTTTTTTTGTTTTGGTTTTTTTAATGAAAATGTTTATCAAGTTTTAGATAAGAATTGTAGAGCTTGGAGTGTTCTTGTAGCTATCTCGAAGGTATTTGACAGGATTGGCATGCTGGTCTTCTTCATAAGTTAAAAGATGGAATTCCAGTACAATTTTATTTACAGATTCAGTGTTTCTCATCAAATCGCGAAATCAAAGTTGCCTTGAACGGCCGCTCTTCTAGATTTTGTCCCCAGGGCTCTGTCCTTCAACCGACGTTGTTCTTACTTTTCATCAACGACCTTCCTTACATCATTAGTTCTCAGCTAAGTATCTTTACTAATGACACTATTCACTCCTGTCTAAATAGGAAGTCTGATCGGTTCGATAATATCAAATTGGCAGCTGATCTCAAAATCGATTACAATCTGTTAAGTAGGGCAAGAATGCATTGTCAATTTTAACGCCTCAAAAACGAAACTGCTTTCTTTTAATCGTCTGGGAGAATGGCTAATGCTAACCTCCAAGAGAGTGAGTCACTGCACATTCTCGGACTAACATTCTCTGCTGAAATGAAGTGGAAAGATTAAATTGAATCAATTGCTAGATCTACTGCTAGGAAATTTGGTTCAATGTGTCGTGCTAGACAATATTTTCTCGCCAGAACATATCTTACACATTTATAAGTCTATGCATTGAATATTGCAGCCATATCTGGTTTGATACTTCTGCACTGAGAAAATCCAAAGAATAATCTGCAATGTTATTGGCCCCGACCTAGCATCTAGGCTTCAGTCACTTTCCCGCCGCCGGAATGTAGCTTTTCCGCGGCTTTTCTATAAATACTTTCTAATTGTTCTGATGAACTATGCTCATAAATCGGTGCCAAGTTCTCATTTATTTACACTTTAAATGGCGAGATGTAATAGCAAATTCTATGCTAACATTTTCTTCTCCCACACTTATCAGCTTTGGAACTCTCTTCCGGCTTCTTGCTTTCCAATCAAATTTGAGCTTCCAAAATTTAAAGGCAATGTCAATCGGTATCGTCTGTCTTCTTAATTCATATTCTCTCTTCTCTCACACTTAGTAAACAGTTGCGTCTTAGCGACTTTATTGCCTTGCTTGGGGGTTAAATAATTATATATATATATATATATATATATATATATATATATATATATATATATATGTATATACAGAAAACCTCACATCAACGGACTAATAGGGGATGGTTGGTCCGTTAAAGCCGATTGTCAGTAGATGGATTATTTTGAGTTATAAGACCACTATAGTAACTACCAGTAGTTATGATCATAATATAAATACTATGAACATGTATATATATATATATACTTAATAAATATTTTAATCAAAATGACAAAAATAATAGATTTCTCACAGTTACTTTCTCGCGCACGCGCTAATGTATCGTAATTTATATACTGTACACCCGTCTTTGTTTACAATTGAAAAGCCAACCACCGCCACCAAGCGGTCACTTTGAGAACTAATACGACTCGTTCCGCTAAGCCTACAAATTTTTAAATACATCGCTGATGATTTTATGTTTTTTTTTCCTGCATAACATTTTATTTTGCCTGCAAATTTTGTCCGTTGCATCCAAAGACCGTTGATGTGGGGATCCGTAGATGAGAGTTTTTATATATATATATATATATATATATATATATATATATATATATATATATATATTTGTATGTATGTATGTGTGTGTGTTTATATTTTTATTATATATATGCAGTAATACCTTGATATACGAGTTTAATCCGTTCTGTAACCGAGCTCGTATGTCAAAATAAAAATTCTCATTTAAACTGAAATAGATTTCATCCGTTCCAACCGTGTCAAACATCCCCAAAACCCTCTAATTTATGAAAAAGACATGTTTTTCATTAAAAAAACATATGTATACTTTACCAATGCTTCACATATATATGAAATAAAAGAAAAAGTGTTATTTAGTATTGTATTCTTACCTTAGAGACAGACGTATGTGGCGAACGGAAATGAATGGCGGGGAAGAAAGGAGGCAAGAGGTGATGCAGACTATAGACACGTAAACAAAAACTTCACTTTCTTAAAAAACTAAAGCTTCACTTTCTTAACATTAAATGAACTAAAATTGCACTTTCTTAAACTAAACCCAAACTTAACATTACGTATTGTATAAAATTCTCATTTAATCATCACTTGCTTTTTTCTTTTTGGCTGGACATTTGGCACTTTCTCTTGCAGACATTTTGAATAAAAACCTATCCAAAGAGGTTTGCTTTTGCCGGCTTTTTAAAATGTTACGGAAATGCGACAAACAAGTGTCATTATAAAGTGCTGAACAGCTTTCTCTGGATGTGTCTTTTCAATGAAACTTGAAAGCTTCTCCCACATTGCCAGCATTTCTTTAATTTCACTTGTAGAAATCACTACCTCGGCCTCTACCTCCTCCTCACTACTGATCTCTTGCAGAACCTTTCTATACTGAATCGTCTGTAGCTCCTTCAACTCTTCAGTTGAGAGTTGTTGCTCCTCATGTTCTTCTATGAGCTCGTTTACCTCACCCGCATCCACCTCCAGACCCATCGACTTTCCAAGGGACACAATACCCTTCACCGGTTCTTCCTAGGTTTGGGTACGAGTTCGAATCTTCGACGTCCCTGGGTGCAACAGCATCATGCCATAACTTTTTCCATGCCGAGTTCAAGGTTCTTCTTGTAACCTCTCTCCATGACAAATCAATGATGTTCAAGCAGGTGTTGAAATGACCTTTCCAAACCTCTCGAAGTTTTTAAAGTTTGACATGGCCTGCTCATCCATAGGTTGTAAGATTGAAGTCGTGTTGGGTGGGAGGTAGAAGACTTTTACGAAGTTGAACTCATCGGGGATGTCATCTTGAAGACCAGGTGGGTGGGCTGAAGCATTATCAAGGGCTAGTAATGCTTTTAGCGAGAGTTTATTTTCTAAAAGATATTTCTTCACTGAAGGATCAAAGACAAAAAACTGCCGCGTAACCCATGCCCTAGAACTGGAGCGCCACATAACCTGCAGTTTTTCTTTAAACATCTTGTGATCTTTAAAGGCTCAAGGATTATCAGAATGGTACATTATCAGTGGCTTTATTTTACCCTCAATGCTAGCATTTACACACAATGCAAGGGTCAGAAGGTCCTTCACAAGGTGATGAAAGTCCTCCGTGGCATTTTTTTCCAAAACAAGCCGGTTTCATTACAGTTGAACACCTGTTGGAGGATGTACTTTTCTTTTGCAACAAGTGCAGCAAAACGTGTGATTAACTCCTCAGCTACTTTAACGGTTGCACTCGCAGCTTTACCATGCGGAACCATCGATGCCAGTTCTCTTCTTTTCGGACCATCCATGATTTGCCTTAAACGTATCGTCTGCTGCCTCTTTTGATTTCAACGGTATTTACTCCTTCAAGTCGCCATAAATAATTTACGCCTTTTCACATATCACAGTCTCCAGCAATGTATCTCCTGTGAGCTCTTTCTCCTTCACCCACACTAGCAGAAGCTTCTCCATTTCTTCATCAATATTTGTCCCTAATTGTTGTTGTATTATTTATAGCGTCCTTTTGTTTAAGGGTCATACTAATTGTAGATGTACTGTGATCGTACTGCCTTGTCAGTTTAATCACTCGTACACCACTTTCATGTTGTTTTTTTCATTATTATTTCTTGCTTTACATCTATTGACATCATTTTCTTCTTCTTCTTCTTCTTCTTCTTCTACTACTACTACTACTTCTTTATCATCTTCTTCTTCATCATCTTCTTCTTCATCTTCTTCTTCTTCATCATCATCTTCATCATCATCATCATCTTCTTCTACTTCATCATCATCATCATCATCTTCTTCTTCTTCTTCTTCTTACCACTGTTCTTTACACTTACTTTCTTTGGACTCATGATGGTACACAAAAAATTACTGTAATTTTAATTAGAAACTGTAAAAATGATGCACAAACATGGATAACGAACGAGATGCGTCCTTACTGTACGGGTAACACGCGAGAAAGAACGAGAATTTCGTTGTACTGATGTTTTACTCGTGCGTCAACTAGCGGCAGATTCCCGAAACACAACTCGTATCTCAGAAATTAACCCGCATGTCAGTCAAAAAATGGCCCGAGCCACCACTCGCATCTAAAAAAAAACTCGTATGTTAAGCTACTCGTATTTTAAGGGATCACTTTATTATACTATTATATATCTTTAGGAAACTGTGCTCATTGTCGGAAAGTTTATATATACATGTATGTGTTTATTTATTCTTATGTTAGTGTGGTCTGAAAAGTTCACATTTCGAACCAATTCTAACCAAATGATCAAACATCAGAATTTTTTGGAATACCGTCTTGGTTGGGCCGACAACTTTTCAGTATTGCCCCATCTGTGTCTTCTTTAAACAGATTATGTGATTATAACCCTATCTTATCGGTTATAGCGATACTTGATATATGCAGTTCAACCTTCAATTCCTTCTTGCTGTCAATTCTTTACTTCTTTCAATTATTTATCTTCTTTTAATATATTCACAGTCATTATTTTAAGTTCCTGATTAATTCTGAAACTATAAAATCTCCATCTCCTTAACGTTTAATGCGCAGGTATCATAACGGTTAACGTTTCGGAAAGGAATCGCAGCTAGAATCGTTCAAATATTCTGCTTAAATCTGTTGCGTTCACTTTGAAGTATAGTGCTGCTTTTTTATTAGCAATGGTTGTAAAATTTATGTCCTATGATATTTTTTTTTCTTAAATTGAATAAAAAAAACACAACTTGAGCCGTGAAGAGGCTGTACTTGACAAAATCAGATATGTCAGGTGAAAATATAATATTTGAAAAAATACTACAAGTCACACCAGATGCGTGATCGATTAGCTTTTTATGGCTTATCAACCGTTTGTTGGTTATTTAAATCTAAAACATATTTTGGATTGCAAGAATACATTAACAATTCTTTGAGAATAACAATGATCTTTCCACATACAAGTCCTACTATTTAACCTATAGCTGGGGGAGGAAATGTAATCATACCTTGAGTGTAAGGAACCCGACTGGAATTCGAACTCGGCTATATATTACACCATACGCACATCTCCAAAAATGCGTGAAGACGCGACGCTTGAAATTATGAAAGTGAATAAAATGCTTTAATAATGTCTTTTTAAAAGCGAAAGCGCCCAGAAGACATTCATTAATTTATTATCAAATTCCACCTGGAAATCAAAAAATAATCCGAATTGTAGAAAGATTAAATTAAAAAAAAATTTAAATGAGTTCGTTTCTTTGTTCTTCAACTAAATCTGCATATATATATATATATATATATATATATATATATATATATATATATATATATATATATATATAATTTATTAGAAAATTATAACAAAAATATGTTATAAAATGACTACAAAATAGACATTTTGTTTCAACACTTCTGGTGTCTTATCAAGTGATGGGGTTGAATGTCAACACCAATATTTTATTTCTTACTTAACAGTTAAAACAGTTAATCCTTGAAAATGGCTAAATATATAGCCGAATGCGTTTGGATAAAAAGGACATTCGGACAATTTTTATATAATTTATCATCTGAAAAGAAAACAATTATTAGATCGCATGAGAAATTGTATAAAAAAATAAATAAAAGCACATTGTCTGTCGTATTCAATGAAATGTATATATATATATATATATATATATATATATATATATATATATATATAGATAGATAGATAGATATAGATATATATATATAACTGATATGTTAAATACTTTTTGCTATATATATATATATATATATATATATATTACATATGCGTCTTATATGCACGTATTTATCGTTGCTTGTAAATCATCCATGTAAACAGAAACAGATTATCATCACCTTCTTGTCCGTATATTGCTTAATATATTGTCCTGTAATTGTCATCTTTGATAATGGCTTATGTAAAACGAAAGGTTAGATTGGATTAAAAAATATGTATCAATATTGTGATTTTCTTTCTTCGTTTAATTATAATTTTATTAAGCTTATCAGACGTTATGAAAAGAATTTACATAAAATAAATAGACAACACTTGTCTATATTATTTAATGAAACATGTATGAATATATATATATATATATATATATATATATATATATATATATATATATATATATATAGTGGATAGCAAAAGTATTTAACATACCGTTTTTTTATAAATTTCACAAAAATTGTTCAGTTTGAATGATACTTCAAATAATTTAATGAACATTGTCTAAACAAAAACGAAAATTGAGAAACATTGTTTTTATGTATTTTATGTTTAGTTTTAGAATGTTCATTAAAATATTTGAAGTCAGTATCATTCAAATTAAACAAATTTTTATTCTGAAATTTATAAAAACTGATGTGTTAAATACTTTTTTCTACCCACTTATATATATATATATATATATATATATATATATATATATATATATATATATATATATATATATATATATATGTGTGTGTTTATGTGTGACTGCATTGTAAATATCAGCTTCTTCACCCAAGACCCACTGTTGCTAGCCCGATTCCCAAAGAGAACGGCTTGTACTTTGAAGAGTTTCGTTATAAATAACATCAGTCTGTGAATTCGCATCCTTTCATCCGCACAAATAAAGACATTATCTTGAAAGTGTTCATTTACGTTAGCGCTAACATGAAACAAATCGACATCTGACAAATCGAGAATCGTGGAGGCGTGTAATAACACCTCGGTATCAAGGAAATATGACGGCAGGAGGAGGGCACGGTCAAACGAGTGAGACTGAATGTGGTTGGCAACATCTAATTTCACTTTTAGGGGCGAAGAGTTCACTTAAAGGGGAAGTAATCAATATGTATAACTGAGTCAGATTAGACCACTAAAATAACAAGAGTTACAAAAGAAAATATGCTTCTTCCATTGCTTCGTCCAAAGAAAAAGATACGTTAAAAATAAGGAAAAAATGATTAATCATTTTTCAGTGTTGGAACTTTTAACACTTAAATATGTCGATCCAGGTCAGTAAATTTTTAGGAGACTGGAATTGAATTTCTGATTCTTATTCACTTCATTTAATTCTCACGTAAAAATTCTAATTCAATATTTAAATTGTAGCGTTATTGACGGCCTAAATCAACCCGTACATTTTTTAACTTTACAAATGTGTAAGCAACGAAAAACAAACAAGAGAAACATGAAAAACTGTTTTTATAACAAGGACAGTATTCATATTTATATTCAAGTATGTAATGATGAAACAGGCATACGGGGTTACTTCCCTTTGACTGAAATTAAAGCCTTTACTAATGAGAAATTTTTTAACTGAGCTCATAAAACGTTGAATGAACTTACCACTCAAAATGTTCAGTGAGAGAGTTGAAAGAATTCTGTAAAGCTAAAAATATGTTGATAAACTTTTAGCTTCAGAAGAGTTGATGCTTGTAATGTTCTGTAATATTTGTCATTAAGTTTACATTGCATGTAGTTGAATATTCGTAATATGTTGATGCTTGTAATGTTCTGTAATGTTCGTAATGTTTGTAATGAAGTTTCCGTATGTACGTGTATGTGTGCTTGTGTGAATATGTTTTCATAGCATCCGCCCGCAAGAGGTCGAAACGCGATTTTATTTAACAGCTACATTTTAGTAAGCGAGAGAAATCAAAAAGAAGGAAAAACGAACTTGTGTCTAGTAGTTATAATCAATGTAATCCCGTGTCAGGCTCAGGAAAGCATTTATGATTTTTCGTGGAGAATGTATTTTCGTCAGATCAGGAACTAGGTTGATGTTATTCGGACGTAGTTGAAAGCATGACTTAAATATTAACTGACCAATGAAAAGTGAGAAATATATCAAGGCTCTGTGATCCTCTTTTTGCACAGATTTGCAGAAAATTTGACATTGACAGAAAAGTAGTAGCAGGATGCTATAAAACTGAATTCAAATTTGAACAACTTACTCAAAATGTTGCGTGACGAAGACGTGTTAAATTGTTTTGTACGACACTAGATTTTGAAATATTCAGAAATATTCTCTCAAACACAAGACTTTACTTATCTCTTCAGAATTGACTCCAAATATTTTAAAATTTAACTTTAGGAAAAAATGTTTAAATCCTGTTCTTGTTCCTTAGGATTTTACTTGAAACAATTTTGTTTGAATTAATCTTTCTTCAATGCAAAACATTCAAGTGCTATATTTTTCTTTGTAAATATTTAGGAAGATTCACATAGTCTTCCGCAGTAATAATATCGCAGTCAGTAAGGATCGAACGCGCATTCTCTGGTGACATTTAGTGAGGTCAAAATGTTTAGCACTGAACCATAGTAAA